ATTACCTGGTATGTACGACAAAGGTTTTGTGTAATATTAGATTTAAACTCATTGTGTTCGAATTTTGGAAGGTTTCCAAAATCTTTTTATTCATTATTTGCTTCGTATTCATAACAATTCAAACGTATGGAAATGTGATTAATTATTTTACCTTTACACTTGTTAGAGTTATAGCGATAATAATAATATATATTTATAGCAAAAACTAAAGTAATATTTACTATTATTAAATTAAATTAATTTATAAAGTAATTACGTAATTTTAATTATGAGGGTATTCTAATTGATTGATGATTTTCTAAAACTTTATTTCCAGTGAATTTAGTTTTTCTTTTTTAGTTCTTCTGTTTTTTTTAAATACATTAAAAAACAGATCATTAAATGTGTGCTCTCTAAATAAAATAAAAATAAAATACTAAATAAAAAAGAAATTGAAACCGTTTCAGCAATATTTTTTGAAGACGAAATTCATGGTTTTCGCATAAAAATAAATTGAAAAATACTGTGAGATGTTAAGAGACAATTAAAGAAAATTCTCAAATATTTTCAAAAATATTATTACAGTTTACAAAGTCACAAAGTTTATAAAATGTATTAATGAATATATACTTTTTTTTCGATGAAAATATTATATTTCAGTTTTTCTAATTGAACTGTTAAAATCACGTCATAATAAATTTATTAACTATATTACAAATTTGTATAATTGTTTCAAATTTAAAATAGCTGCATTTTGTACATTTCCCTTACTTAAAATAGTTTGAGAATCCAATTTTAAAATTTATTCTATTTCATCCACAAGAAGCAGTTGCATTCGTTGTTTGGTGATAAATTGTATGTAAATCTTTTCCAAACTTTGGTTTCTTAAAAAGCCTAGGAAACCTATATTTTATTGTAAGGTATTGTTTTAATTTCAAGGAACATGACTGCAAAACCAGTTAGAGCGTCTAGCCCCAAAGATTTAACAATATTATGTCATTCTTAAATACTCTATTATTTTGATACCTTTTCTTAAAGTTTAATTCTATTTTTCAGATTTTTTTATATGAAAGAATGAGTCTGTTCATAGCGAAGCAACTAAAAAGGCTTTAAAATAATCTACATCAATTTTTAAAAATTAAGAAATGAAATGTATTATTTAGAATCTTGTATTAGCACACATTATAAAGGTAAAATTAAGAAAATAACAGCTAAATAGCAGCTAACAGCAAATAACAGTAAATAACAGCTAAATAACAGCAAATAACAGCTAAAATGATTTTGCGACACTTTGAATTTTTACCTTTCTGAAAATTCATAATGTTATGTATTTTAATTCTTGAAAAATTAATTTAAAAATATTGAACCGTTTTCTAGCATATAATCTTACTATAAACTTTGTAAACTAGAACATCCTTTTACCATTTCATTGTTGTTTTTAACATTTTATCATATTGGTAATATTTCTACAATTAATATTTCCAGTTAATCTGTTTAAAAAGTAAATGTGCAACAATCCTGCTAAATGGTTATTTTATATTTTTTTTCTCAACTTTTCTTCAAAAAAATTATTACGGTACCACATAACGATTTACGGTACAAATCATAAGCTTTAATATTTAATTGTAACGAAGTTTTATGTTTTCCTTTCCTTACAAGTTAAATATATCATGTTCATGCTTGATCTCAATTACATTTAAATGATAAAAAATAAACTTTAAGAAAAAATAGTTAGTCTGGTGTGATTTCAAAAGAATGTAACATGTGACGAGTAATCACGGATAATTATTGTGGGCAACTAACTTGACTTGATAATTAAATCCACGCAAAGTGGATTTCATTATCAAGTCAAGTTAGTCAAATTAGTCAAGTCAAATTAGAAATTCACGCAAAGTGGATTTCATTATTAATTTGGTCAAAAGGTATGTTTTTTCACCCAGCAGACACCACAAACTTTAAAAAAAAAAAACGTATTCCGTTGAATTTTTCAATAGGGATTTGCTTAAGTCTTATTCCTTAAAAATTAATTCGAAAGAAATATAAAATACTCCATGAAGAAGTCAAAACCATCTCTACGATTATTTTTTGAACAAACACCACACGGTTTCCATATAAAAAGAAAGTGAAAAAAATCAGTAAATCGTCCAAAAGACAATTCTAGAAAATTATAAATATCTACTTTTTTTCAATGATAATATTATATTGCATTTCTTCTAATTGGACCGTTGAGATAATTAATAATAATATAATAAATTTATAATAATAATAAATTTAAAAATAAATTTGATAATAAATTTACTTTAGTGATGGTAAATTTGTAAACAATAAATTTATGACACTAAATTAATTATTTATTATAATACAAATTTATAATACAAATTTGTATCCTTGCACTGATTTAAATCAACTAATTTTTCAAATTCAATCTGATTTACGCATAATTTCAAAATGGTTTACAATAAATGACTTAAATTTAAATCTAAATAAAACTAAATATATTTATTTCAGTTTAAGAAAATCAGAATTTAACTTAAATTTAAAATTTCACTCTCTCTCCTGCAAAAGTACTAATGAAAATTGTCAATGCTATATTCTACAATCTGTAAACAATATCAAANTTCGTATAACCTAAGAATTATATATCTATTATCTTAGTTTATAAATTATTTGCAGAAGCGAATTTGTAACCCCGAGTCGTTTAAAACTGGTTTTATGTGCAGATTTTAAAATATAAATCATGTTAGTAACTCAACGTAAATTCACATGTACTGAAGCATTTAGTTATGTATTTTCTAAACGCGGAAGTTGTTTTTGACTTTACGAAATATCTCAGACTTCCGTACATTTCAGCAGCATTTTATCTTTGACAAATTCAAAATTTAATTTGTTTAAATTATCTAGTTTGTCATAGAAACGCAACACATTGTTTCCTGTCACAAGGCAGGTTGTGGTCAGCGAACTTCAAAACCTAAACTTCATGCAGACCAAGACTAAATAAAACGAATAACGAGTTATACTTGTAATCGCCCCTTCATCAAATGTCTTGTTACATACGCAGGTGTTTTTATTTTATTTTTTTATTTTTTTAAACTGATCGCATAATTGCATTACCCACGCCCTGCTTGGCACATACGCACACGCATCAGTAATTATTCTTCTAAGACAACCTACTTACTTTTCATTCCGATCTTCTCTTATAAACGAATTATCCCTAACATTATACACATACACAGATGCTTGATTCCATAATTTGACCCAGAGATGTCATATGTTTTTACTTTGCTGATGGTTTAGTAGGTGATATAATTAAAGAAAAAAGTTGGAAAAGATCATTGGAAAACAATTTAAAATCGATCCAAATGGTAATTTCACTGCAATGGATATCAATACTAATTGATATTTTGATAAAAAAAATAACGAGAAATAAATGATTACTTGACTTTGGTAATTGTGTAATGCTAATTTATTGTTATAAAGGAAATACTTCTGGCATTATATACACGCAATATTCTGCTAGTATGTGTGATAATATTAATATCTTAATTTACTTTTTATCACCACAATATAGTTAAGATTGATTTTTTTTTAAAGTTTCCTCCCTCTAAAATTATAGGACGATCTGATTAATCATTGACAAATAAAAGACGACGTTATGTTTTCACTGCAGTGGAGGCTTATATAATATGAACAGACATCGCTTCTTACACCGGTTTTTCATGCAAGTTGATATTGTTTCCCACGTATCTAGCTCCTGCTTAGCTCCCGCGGACTGATAATACGGCCATTTAACTTATGTGAACTGATATTTTTTCCTATCAGGTGTTATATGATAAGAACTGATATTACTTGATTCCTGACCTGATATTAAATCATACCTGATTCCAGCCTGATATTAAATCATACGAAGCGATATTGTTTTATACCGAATGTTATATCATATAGTGGCCTATATCATTTAAAATAATATAATATACTCAATTTAAATTGCATTAAATAGCTCATACCATTATAAAGACTGAGGATCTTGGATAGCTGAGAACTGCTGAATAAAAAGTGGGTACATAGCTTTATGTGTAGAAGTAGTTCACCGTTCTATTTCTACACATAATTGCATATTCAACATGTTTAGGTATTGCATATTCTTAATTACATATTCAGCATGTTTAGTAATTTTATATAGCATAACAGTTTATTAAATGTTATACTAGTTAACGAAATTTATAAAGAGAACCATGAGGGCTCAGGGGATATAGCTTTCGCCTATGAATGAAGTGGCCCAGGTTCGAATCCCAACGACGGCTGATCGATGCAAATTTTGTTCCAGACTCGTAACCATGCTACACAAAAGTGCGTAAATTCCATCTAAAAGTCCCCCACAAGGGCCTGTTTGTCTGATTTGTTGATTGATACAAGAGTTACCTTAGCTTCTGACTTTGGTTCAAAATTACAGGGCTACGGAATTGAACATAGATAATAGTAAAGTCAAAAGTAGTTTGGCTTTCAATGAGGGTTATAAGAATTAAAGCAAATTAGTTAAAAGGAACAACTATAAGGAAACACAGATTAAAATTCTCAATAATACTTTTAAAAAAATAAATAAAAATTAAAAACAAAATTATGTTAATACTCTAGGGATTTCGTTTTATTTGTTTTGAAGATTTAAATAAAGCAAATAGTTTTTTAATAGCAAAAAAGAAATATTTTGAGCTTCGATCATAAATAGTAGAGCTTTTACAACTCATTATACAGAGTGTGGATGATAAGCTCATATCGTTACACGTAATTGCCTCACTTGACTATTTTACTTCACCCTTATTCATTATTTTTTTTGTTTTCAGTTTAAATAATTTAAAATATAATTTGTGTTTTCACTATATTATAAATATTCGCTCTTCTCCTTATTCAGTATTAATAGTCCAAATCATTATTCTGTATTATTCATTGCTATAAATATACTTAATTATCTAGTTGGAATTTGCATTTTACTATAGTAATTAAATGATTTTTTTTTCTTTTTGTAGCCGTCCCATTACGAAGATATGACGTGGTCACCAAACAGACACTTTCGGTCCCCTGGGTCAAGTCCTGAAACTTATAGAAGAATAATTCGAAATGAGGATGATTTTCCAAACAGAAACAAAGATGCTGAGGATGAATTTTTCAATGGTCGGAAAAGTCCTACTTTTCCTAGAAGAGTTTTTAAAGAAGTTTGGAATGAGTCACCAACGACCCATCGTTTCACTGAAAGACCCCGAATGTTTAAACGAGTCTTCCGACCAGATCGCTGGGAAGATGAGTTTGACAGAGACATTCCTCATCTGCGTCGCGTAGAACGTGAGTTCGATCGGAATTTCGATGGCGGTGGTCCTACCAGAAAGTTTGATGAAGGCTTCGAAAAAAGGTTCAACTCTCGAGATTTTAAGAAGAGCTTGGATGACGAGTCACCTGATGCCAAAGTACATCATATACCTATCATGGTAGAACGCAGAATGGATGATTTGAAATCTCGTTTTGCGAAGAATGAAAAATCTTCTCCTTCGCAAGAGCGGAATAATGACGAAGAATATGCTGAGGAATGGCAAGGGCCACAAGTGCAGCGCCTGAGGAAGAGCTTCGAGGAACCAGAAGACGAATATTCTTCTCGATTTAACAATTACAGAGTTCCTAAATTTGACACTAACTCTAAACCTCGTCCATACATAAATCCTTCAACAGAAACATGGGATCCTCATGCAATTCACACTCTCCCAACAAGAAAATCCCATAAATCTTCACAAAGTTTTGACGATTCTAGACATCCAGTTCCTCCGAAATCCGTCTTCAGATCTTATTCCGAAACACACGACGATGCTCCCAGGCCACAGCAACAGCAACACTCAGCAGCATTTCGTTCCCATTCTGACGGACATTGCCCTCAGCAGACTTACGTTACCAAAATAAATGTTAATCTTCCCTCACAAAATGAGAATGATGAGCAGTGCTCACCAAGTAGCCAAAGCAAAAAAGAGTTCGCCAAATGTAATGGTGATTCCACTGGCCATGCAGTGAATGATGAGGACACATCATCTAAATCCAAAGGCAGAAACAAGTATACCAATCCATCCATGCAACAGATTGCCGTTGTCTTGCAAAATGTCGAAGATCTGGTGACACGTGTTGAAAATTACACAGGCACTGGCAGAGACAAACATTACCGTTTCTTGGATGAAATGTTAACTAGATGTATGCTTCGTTTAGATGACGTTGACACTGAAGGAAAAGAAGATATCCGCAATGCTCGCAAAGCCGCTTTAAGGGAAGTTCAAAGTTGTATCGACAGATTAGAAGCCAAAGCTGATGAAAGTGAGAGGCGTGCCCGAGAGAAGAAGGCTATGGAAAATGAAAAACCTGTCCAACAGAACAAGGCTAGTCCTATTGAAAGTGATATTAAAAACAAAGAAAACCAAGCTGATGAAAAGAAAGCCATTCCTCTGCAAGCAAAATCTGATGATGACGAACACAATCCCAGTAAAGCAATTCCTTTGCCAGATGCTTCTAGTGATGGTTCTCAAGTAAGCAGAGCTATTCCTTTAAAAGATAAGCCCACAGAGGCTGTAAATAATCAGCCAAAATCGAAGGCTATTCCTCTGGGTTATACACCAACCAACAATAATCCCGACTCCGATTCTCTTGATAAACCAAAAACTGATTTTCTTAAAAATGAACAAACTAAGTTGTAACATGACAATTCTAACTTAACAGCTTATGAATTTAAAATTTTTTAATGATTTTGGTGTGCAACATAACACAAATAAAATACTTTTTTTGAAATAAATGTTATTCTACACTATGATTTGAAGTTAATATATTTCCTCTTTAAAATTTTATGTAACTACTCGCTGACTTTTATTAAAATATTTAAACTGAATTTAATTTTTATATAAGAAGCAAGATTTTTTTTTAAATTAGGAAATCTATCTATGAGAATATTTTATTTGATTTTTTTTACTTTAATAAAGAAAAGTAAACTGGAAGATTTTTAATACAATATTTTTTTTATCTTATTTAACTACTACTGTTATTGATAGAATATAGGGTGAATAAAAACTATCTTCTACTTTGATGCTCATTATCACCTAAAATTAATATGATAGATAAGCCTTGTTGCTTATACACATGTACATGCCCCAGCAATAAAGTTTTTAATTTAGAAGAAACAATTTTTTCTCCTGTCTTATAAGCGTCAAGGGATATGAGTTTGAGTTCACCATTTTATCGCGATTCAGAGAAGGCAAGAATTACAATAATCTTGTAAATATTCCGTCAGACATCTTGAACTCTCGAATTATATAAAAACTGCACAAAAATGTGTCGCTAAGGCATTCCCAATAAATTGAACTCAGCTATCTAATTTATTTTAGGTGTTAAAACAGTCAAAGTGGAAAAATTAAACGTTATTTACCCTATATGAATGATATGAAAATGCAGATATTCCATGGAAAAATATTATTAAAATCTAGTTAGAAGTTTTAAGAAGTATATAGGTTTAGCAATACTGTGTCACTATCTCCTGACGTCCATACACGCATTATCTGGAATAATTGCGCAGGTCACGACAGAAACCTCAAAACTGCGCATATTCAGTTATTCCATAAGTGACGTGAGAAGTGAAACGCAACTACTGAATGTCTCTATTGCTTCATATGCAACTACTTATTTCCATTTCTCTTAACTTCGATGTTAAAATCATAGCACATATGAATAACATTAAGGCTTATTTCAGTTATTCAAGCTATGTGATGAAACTACTTACTGTGTATGTACATACATATTTCTACTTATGTTTTTAAACGTCTGGTACGTTTATACTTTGTAAATTATTGCTGTATTATTTACATTTATATTTCAGTTCTCATTCCGTTCATCATCCTTTGAATGATTTTAGTTTGTTAATCATTAACTGCTTTATAAACGCTTAAAAGTAGCAGTCTGTATTTAAGAAAAATTCGAAAATTAAATGACTAATTGACTGAAAAATTCAATTAAGTGGAAAAATCAACAATAATTTAGTGGATTTTTTATATTATATTTTATTAAAAATATTTCATGATGAACGGAATTGTTAATAATAGCATAAATTTTGGTTTCTTTTTTTTTCTTTGACTTTGTAATTTTTACTGTATTTTTGTAAATATTTTTATGTTGTGTAAATAAAAATGCTGGTTTTAATACAGACCAACCATATCAAACAATTATAAATCTTTAAAGAACAATCAATAAAAATAGCATGAGAATTGTGCAATCCCTTTAAAAGAGTTTTGAGAAAAACATGTTAAGTCACATTTAGGGAAAATATATATAAATTATAGTTTTCAGGTTTAAAAACATGTTGTAATGAACTAAAATTGTAAGATATTAATATATTTTGTCAAATTTTTAACTTAAATTCCACAGTTTCTGATTATATTAAATATCTTTTAGAGTATTAGATTCATTATAACTCTAAATTAATTTAACAATACTTTCAAATTGTATTTTAACATTGTCTTCCACTGAGTTATTCAGTTTGGACTGTAAAAATCTCAACATAATAAAATAATATTTGTTCAAATCAAAGTGAAGAATGTTGTAGAAAAACATGTTTAGCGACATTTTGAAAATACTAAATTTTTCGGGCTTAAGAACAGGCTGTAATCGTCGAATTATAGAAAATTCAATACATTCTGTCAGATTTTTAAGTAAGATGTTGCGACTTCTAAATTTTTTCCACATATTCTGAATGCACTCTAGAATGAATATGTTCAAAATCCTTCTTAGCATGTTCTTTTTTAACACAAGTTTGATCTGCAAAAATATCAACAAAATAAAAGGACATTTGTGTAAATTGAACTGATAAGCTTTCTAGAAGAATGTGTTAGAAAGCACTTCGAAAATACTAAAATTTTCAAGTTCTTCTTTAATCGTCTAAAAATAGAAAATCTGATCTATTCTTTCATGATTTTAAATATTGCTGTGCAGCTTCTTGATCTTATTCTACATATATACATACTCTATTCCTGACATATTCTACATACTTTTTAGAATATGTTTAAATTTTCTGTTAATATTTTCTTTTACTAAGCTCTTAAATTTGGATTGCATAAATCTTAACACTTTCCCAATAGATTTGCACTTTCTGATCTGAAGAACTTTGTGGAAGAACGAGTTAAGTGACATTCTGAAAATGTTCAATTTTTCAGGAATAAAAAAATATGATCGTCTGAAATTTAAAAAAAAAAAGGATTTATTCTGCCATATTTTTGAGCAAGTCATTCCAACTTCTTTATGACATTACAAAAATACCACTTAACACGTTGTTCCAAGCTCTTTATTTATTGTAAATTAACAGGGGGAAATTTTACTAAATTTCTTATAGATTTTTAAAAGGGTATCGGAAAATAAAATATTTTGTAAAATTAATCAGGAAAATTATTTTTATAGACAATTAAATTTTTAATACATGCCTATAATTAAAAAGATATTTAATTCAAAAGATACATTTCAAATTTACCTACATCAATCGCATTTACAAATTAAATTAAATTACAAAATAAAGCAAACAGTTTTTTTATTTTTTTTAACATACGTGCATATATATATATAAAATAAACTGTAATTTGGCATATTTTTTCTAAAAGTACTATTTCGAACGGTTACTGTGAATAATTTTTGTAAATGTACTTTAGACACTGATGTACTGTAAATAAATGTACAAATTGTTTATAAAATTGGTTTATAAAATTTACGTACATATTCATCTTCTAGTAATCTGAAAATTTTCAAATTGCGTTAAATTATTTTAATTTCTCGTAAGAAACTATTACAACAATGAAATGTATGTTAAATAACTTTATACCTTTAAGTAATTAAGTTTATAGAAATACACTTGGGACCCACAAACCTATTGCTAAAATTGTATTTTTTTTCTTGAAATTTATTGTGTAAAATGAAAGTGTGTTGCCTTTGGTTATGTAAATTGATATCATAATATGTAAGAAAATGTGTGTAATAAAAATTTTCTTCAAATGGCATTGCTTTAATACTATAGTACGTTTAATTTACTAATTTTGCTTAGAAGTTTTGATGATTATGAATTTGCTTAGAAGTGTAACATCGTTTAGAAATTTTTTCGTTTATTACTATTTAAAAAATCGAATTAAATGTTTAATACATTTCTGATGATAAATTTTTACCTATTTTTTTATTAGCCAAAAAACCAAAGTAAAATGAATTTATTTAGTACGTTGGGGTCTAAGTTCGGCTTCGAGTTATACCTTTCGCGTTGTCCCCTTTTTGTGATTGTAGTTATCGCCAAAACGCTGGTTCCGCCTTTTTTTCAATTTTACCTTCCTGTCCAAAATAATCTTTTGCTTATAGATAGATAATGAAGAAGTTTAATTTAAGCTACCACTAAACAATTGAGTAAATAGCCATAAACTAGAATAAAGAATATGCAACCCATTAACTACACAACTATTAAATACGGATTGATGTCTTTAAAATTAATTAGAAGAAATATACTTGAATTAAAAATGGTTGAGTTTGTTTGTCGCGTAACTTGGAATTTCGGGTAAAAAACATTCTTTCGTTTAAACTGAAAATGAATGAACATGTCAAATCTAATCTATGTAGTTGCATTTCAGAGGACATTAGATCAGCCAGCATAGTTATTTTCACAGAGAGTTTGGCAGTAGATACTTTTCGAACTAAAATTCATATCTGAACTATTTTTATTCCATCGAATTTCTTGTATATTTCTGAACATACCTTAGTAATTCCAAAGTTTCAAGTCTTAAAGATTTTGCACAGTAGAACAAAATGTAACACATGGGGCAAAAATTTAAGAAAATATATCGCAGAAGAAACACTTAAAATTGCAATAACTTTCTAAAAACTGGAGTTTAAAAAGAGAAAAAGGAGCTCATGTTAAGTTCGCAAATTAACATAGCCCTTTCGGAATGTCAAATCTTTGCAGTTGAAGAATGGATCACATGATAGTTTTTACAACAATTTTAACAGGTAATAAGCTTCGAACTAATTATCGAATCATAGTTTTTTTTATTCCCTCGTTCTCTATATACCCGTTTACATTTTTTTACCCAATTTTGTTATTTCAAATTTCTAAGTCTTATAGTTTTTATGCAGCAAAGCAAAATCTAACGTCACGTTAAACATTCAAAACAATAGCGACGGCTCATGACTTTCTAATTTAGAGAGATAATACGAAAGTGAGAACAAATTTCCAAATAAAATATGGTTTAAGATTGTCATATAAGTGAACACAATACATCTTTACAAAGCTTTAATGAATTTTCTTATACATTTAACTGGATCTCTTTTTATCATACATTACAAAAACAGATCCCATTCGATTTATGATAAGAAAACTCGTTTAAACTATGGAAAAATGTATTGACAGCATTGATTTATTTTCTCTTTCAGAAACATATGCATTTTTACGGGGATTGTTGTTTAAAGGGGCTGTATATAAATCAAATGCCTATAATCAGACATGAAAGATATGGTACTTTTTTTCACTCAATATTGGATCTAACATATAATTGCCATCAATTATCCACACTGTATAATACACAAATGCTTATTTGGCTAAAAAAAAGTGATACAATATCTTTTTCACTTTGGCAATAAAGTCTTCTTAAGAAAACAGCATCAACGTCGAATTATGGCAATGCATTTTCAATTACCATAAATGAAGCCTTAAGCAGCCTCTTTCTAAAGTGATATCCTTTAATTCATTGCTTAATTCAGTTTAATTCCTATTGCATCTTCAAACTGATTTACAATTGTGTATGCACGGTGAGGAAAATTATAACTGAAACACCCTGAATAACTTTTGTTTTAATGATTGTATTTTTACGTACTCAATAGTATGAAGGGATGACCTCAAATATGCTGATTAGCTAATGCAGATGATATTTTGAGTTACGAAATCATGCATAAAATGTACTTTCTCTGAATAATCCTTTCTTTCGACCAAATATAATTACTGATCTTCATAAAATTGCAAGTAACCGCAATCTGGGAAAGATGATCTTACACTAGTTTGGTCATGTTAGGGGTTAAAAACTTGAACCCTTGCGAGCTTCGCCATTTTTCGAGAACTTTTTAAGCGAATCGAAAAATTTTTTCACACTAATATAAAATTCTTATATCAAAGATAATTCCATGCAAAATTATTTTGTAATAACTATTCATTATTTTGATTATATACTTGGAATTTTGTGCAGAGGAAAGTTTATGAACTATTTATTCTAAACTTTAGTTTTCAAAAAAGTATACAAAACTAGACGGAATTTCAAATGAGAGAGAGAAGCGAGTTCGGAGTCAAGGCAATCCGAAGGTTCGTTTTTAAAAGCGCTATATGTTGAGCCACCTAATCTAGATTTGGCATGTGACATTTTTAGCGGCAAGCATTTGTCGATTCGCCATGTAAGAGAAATAGTAACGTAAACAAAACAAAGTAAACGTTACCACCGGCAGAAAAGAAATACAGCCAAAATTTGGGAGCTACGTAAGAGATATATATTAGATTTATAATAATTTTAATATTTTTCAAAGTTAATATTATGCATTAACTTTCAAAATGAATTCAATGGGATTGATAAAATTAAATAAATGGTAAATAAAGCTTTTAAAATTGAGTGATTTTTCGATAAGAAATGTTACCTCACATATAAGTCCTATTATTTTTTATTCATGATAAACTGTTTCAAAGTAAATTTATGATTAATATCCGATTAATAAGCAATTAATCCACTCATTCTTCAAATGTTTATTTTATAAAAAATACTCAATATGAGAGAAAATACTAAGTAATTAGGCGAATTTAAGAAAGCAATATTAGAGCTTAAAACTGAAAGTCAAAATCTCGATACCTATATAAATAAAGAAGAACCATTAAACAGCTGGATTTTGGAGTTGGATGGCTAGGCATGTTACAGATGTAACTTTTCAGATGATCTCTCCGTATTCAGAATTCCGAACGATAAAATAGTTTTTAAAAATCAAAAGTCGTACAATAAGATTTAATATCACTATTTTAAAGTTATAGGATCCGTGACAATCTTGTAAAAACAACTGTTCACATATACCGAA